AGGGGGAGATGGTGCCCTTAGGTACCAAGGTAGGTTGTGTGTGCCTTGTGTTGATGGTTTGAGGGAGAAAATTCTTGAGGAGGCTCATAATTCTTCCTACTCCATCCACCCCGGTTCCACCAAAATGTATAGAGATTTGAGGGATGTGTATTGGTGGGGAGGCATGAAGAAGGACATTGCCAAATTCGTCTCCGGTTGTCATAGTTGTCAACAAGTCAAGGCCGAACATCAAAGGCCGGGTGGTCTAACCCAAGACATAGAGATTCCTACTTGGAAGTGGGAAGAAATTAATATGGATTTTGTAGTTGGTTTACCCAAGACTAGAAAAGGTTTTGATTCTATTTGGGTGGTGGTTGATAGGATGACAAAATCGGCTCATTTTCTACCGGTAAAGACAACATATGGGGCGGAAGATTATGCAAGGTTATATATTCATGACTTGGTAAGGTTGCATGGGATTCCTCTATCCATCATATCGGACCGTGGTACTCAATTTACTTCACACTTTTGGAAGTCCTTTCAAAGGGGTCTAGGTACGAGAGTTAAGCTTACTACGGCCTTTCACCCGCAAACGGATGGACAAGCCGAAAGGACTATCCAAACACTTGAGGATATGCTTAGGGCTTGTGTATTGGAGCTTAAGGGTAGTTGGGATGATCATCTTCCATTGATTGAGTTTCCTATAACAATAGCTATCATTCTAGCATCGGTATGGCTCCTTTTGAGGCTCTCTATGGGAGGCGTTGTAGATCACCGGTTGGGTGGTTTGAGGTTGGTGAGGTGGCCTTGTTAGGACCAGATCTAGTTATGGAGGCTCTTGAGAAGGTTAGATGATTAGAGAAAGGTTGAAGATGGCCCAAAGTCGCCAAAAGTCCTATGCCATGTGAGGAGAAGGGCTCTTGAATTCCGAGTTGGTGATTGGGTCTATTTGAAGGTGTCACCCATGAAGGGTGTGGTTCGTTTTGGTAAGAAGGGCAAGTTGAGCCCAAGATACGTGGGTCCTTATAAGGTGATGAGGAGAATTGGCAAGGTAGCTTATGAGTTGGAATTGCCTAGCGAAATGAATTTGGTTCATCCGGTATTTCATGTGTCTATGTTGAGGAAGTGTGTGGGTGATCCAAATGCCATTGTGTCTCTTGATGTTGTGGGTGTTGTTGAAGATAATTTGACCTATGAAGAGGTTCCGGTCCAGATTTTAGATAGGCAAGTGAAGAGGTTGAGAAACAAAGATGTGGCTTCCGTTAAAGTCCTTTGGAGAAATCAACAAGTTGAAAGTGCTACTTGGGAGGCCGAAGCGGACATGCAAAGACGATATCCTATCTTTTCCAATCCACTCAAGCTAAGGTATTAATTTAAGCCCTTTATAAAATCTCAGGTCTTAAGTTCAGCCCCATGTCATTGCATACATTCATGTTTAAATTGACAAGTTCATTGTGGTTTTACAACTATGTTGAGGTTTTTGAAATAAGATGTAAGTGCATTGTTGCATCCTTATGTGGGCTGATATTGCCATGTTTGTGTCCCTCATGTACGTTTCTTTAACATTCGGGGACGAATGTTCCCAAGGGGGAGATATTGAAACGACCCCAAAAATGCCCGAAAATGTGCTTCGGAAACACCTATAATTGTAATTTCCATATATCTCAAAATCCGTGCATGATTTCGGAAATTCGACTTCATATTCTTATTCAGGGGGTAAAATTGAGTGGGAAATGGGTCTAACCCGAATTTTAGAGCAACCGTATCAAAATTCGAAAATCGCAAAAAATGCGATTTTCAGGGTCAACTTTAAAGGGGCATATCTCTTAGCACACAAGGAACTGGAAGGGCCACTACCTATTAAATTAAAGCCCTTCGAGTTATCTTTCCAATGCAATTGGTTTCACCTCATTCCGAGTTAGGATGAAGGAGTTATGATCATTTTCGTAAAACCTGTCCGGGCAGAATTGCAATTTCCAGAGAGCTACGTTACTGTAGCGGCTGGGACGTTTTTCTTTTATAAAAAAGAGGATTGTCCCATACTTAGTTATATTTCTTTCTAGCTTCAAAACACTCAAAAACACTCACTAATCCCTCTCCAAAATTCCTCCAAGATCTTCAACCAAATTCAAACATCTCAAGTTCTAATTCCGGATTCAAGACTCAATCTCAAGCATCAATTCTCCATTCCAATCTTCATCAAGGATTCTCCAAAGTTTAGGTATGTGGGTTGATTGTGGAAACCTTCCTTTCCACAAGTCCAACCATTTATCCTCTATTTTACTTCAAGTTTATGGGTCCTTATGATCATTTATGAACTCTTGAATTATGGAATTACTACTACACATTCTATTATGGTCTATTTTTGCATATTATCATGAAATGGAATTATTATGTGATGTTTATGGTTTTCATGCTTCCATGATCAAATTATGAAGGTTGATATATATGTATGTTGTTGGTGGGCTGATTTATATGTATTTCGGAATTGGTTGGACTTAGTACTCTTGAAAGACATGATTTTATCTACATGAACAATAGCCCACCATGTGTTTGATAAAATGCATTTATAGAATTCATAGGAAATGGAAGGTCCAATGTACATCCTATGAGTCGGATGATTATATAATTATTGAAATGATGATAAAGGGATACATGTATATGATTTTCTCTATATAAGTGTTGTGAGTCGACCAAGCCTAGCTCGGGGGGTTGTAGGCCCGGGTAACCGTATCAAGGGGTTGGTACCTTGGTTGCCTAGTACGGGGGGTAGTAGGCCCGTATAACCACATCGAGGGGTTTGTACCTTGGTCCCTAGCTCGGGGGGTGGTAGGCCCGGGTAACCACATTGAGGGGTTTGTACCTCTTTCGCCTCTCCAAGGGGGTGGTAGGCCTTGGAAAATACTATATTGATGGTCACTCACCACACATGTACTACGTCCCACTAAATATGATTTTTATATAAGCATCATTATACATATCATTTCTCTAATGTGCTATCTATCGGGTATGATTATGCATTTTTCCTATGATGTCCGTCTATTGTAGCGTTGCATTGCATCCCATATACTTAGTACATTCAAACGTACTAATGCATACTCTATGCCTACATGATGTCACCATGTAGGGACCGGAGCACCGCTTGACCATCCTCCTCCGCGTGGCTAATACAATTTCCTATCAAGGTTATTGGTGAGTCCTCCATTCCGGGGACGTTGCTCATGATCTTTTGCTATGTATAAGACTGTTTCTTTTTAGTTATGTTTTGACTATGAGGGTGAGCCCGGTAGTTTGTCTTGGCCCCCGCTAAGTACTCATGTTTAGAGGTGGTGTTGGACAAGTTGTGTATTATGCTTGAGCTTGACTCATCTATGGTATTTATGTATTATTTCTTTTCTTTTTTTTTCTCTTGCTCCCTTAGTCCCGATTTCCCCCTTTGATTATGCTTATTGCTTATGGTCATTTTAATTGCTTCCGCGACCAGGGATGTGTAATGATACGCTATGAGGCTTGTTTGGGGTTCTTTCGGGTTCCCCATTCGCCGGTCACGTCTAGGCCCTAGGCTTGGGTCGTGACACTTCTTCAATAAAGAAATTTATTTTAAGTGAAAAAATAATTTTTCAAAGGTATGCATTGGTACCTTATGAACATTTTTTTAAGGTACAATTCAAAAATATTTTTTGAACTAAAGCGTACAATTTTTTTATTAACTGACAATATTTTCTTAAAAAATAAATCGAATGAACTATACACATACACAAAAAAATACACAAAAATATTTTATTTTTATTAACTGAATTTTTTTCCAGATAATGATAAACAAATAAATCCACAAATAAGATGTTTAAGACTGAAATTAATCATTTAAACAAAAAGGTTTTTTAAAAAATCACATATGAGAAGTATCAAATATATTACTGAACTTTGTGAGAAGTATCACATTAAAGGATGTTTTTAAAATTACCTTGAATGTAATTAACTTATTTATAGAATTATGTCATATTTTCACTATAAAATATATAAAAAAAATTACTTTCTTATTTTTTAATACAAAAAATTCATCTAACTATTAAATTTATCACACGAAACTTATCTCTATATTTAACACATAAAAGTACAAACTTTATTTTTAAAAAAAGATTTTTTATTATCTATAAAGAATAATCTTTAAAGTTTATCATAAAAAAATATTTTATTCATTTTTTTAAAGATGATTATGAAATATAATATTCAAATCAGTATATTAGTGAAGAAAAAAAAATCAAATCATATTATTTTTTAATATTGATGATAGTGTATTAAATATAATATAATGAAATTAAAATAAAGAAAACAAATGTAATACTATCCCCAACAAATTTTGTGTTATGATATTAACGAATATTTTTTTGTGTGTGTTTGATTTTAGAATTGGATGATTTGTATATAATAGAAATAAATAAATGTTAACTTATTTTCAAGTTCAAGACTAGAAAATCATTGTTAAACTGTATCCAAAAATATCTTATGAAATTAAAATTTGTATAATTTAATTTTAAATGTAATGGAAAAGAAAAGAGAAAGGATGACAAAAAAGATGAAGAAAAATGAACAAAGAAAGAGTGAATTAGGAAGAATTACAAGAAGACGAAGTTAGATTGTAATGAGTCCCACATTATAAAGTCCATTGAATAATTTCCTTCACACAACTAATAATAATTGTAACTCATTAAACATAATAATTATTGTTCACACGTATTTTTAGAAATTTAAAAAATAATAATAATAAATATTTGACTTTACCTTGAAAGGGAAAAAAGTTAAATTAGTCTTTTTTATAATTCTGGCCGTTTAGCACTTCTCTATCATAATTTCAAAGATGAAGATGGTTTGACTCATTTTTGTCGAGTCTTTTAGGCCTAAAATTAAGTCTTTTCTTTCTCCATTTCACCCACTCTAACTCGAAACCCAGAAGTAAAAGTAGTAAAGTAAGAATTGTTTTATTTACATTTTCCAACAAATATCCATTCCCTTGTACTCCGGGAAATTGAAAGTTGAAACACCAATATTACAAGCAATCTTCTAAAGCAGCTGCAGCAAGTCTTGAAACCAACTTTGATTTGATCATGGAAGAGTAATATCCTATCCTACCTCCCTTTTCTGATTCATTCATTTCTTCATCTTCAAGCTTTATTCTTCAATTTTTTTTTGCAGATCTGAGACATACCCAAAAGAATACTTGTCCCCACAACCAAGAAGAGTCACCTCAATGTCATCATCTGTTTCAACAACGAGTGTCCATGTAACTGCCTTGGACGGGCTAGTGAATGTGAACTCACTTTTCACCATTGCAGTCTTTGTGGGTCTCTCTTTAACAACACCTGGACAGAAAAGTCTGGAGGATCGCACAGCCTGCGATGCTGGGATTGATGTAGTTAAGAAGTTGTTGGTTTTTGAGGTGGTGTCATTCAGCTTCTTTCTCTTCTCCTCACTTGTTGCACAGGGCCTCAAATTGGCAATTAATTTGTTGAATAGCAAAGATGTTGATGAGGCTTTTAGGGCTCACATCAATTTGAAGGTGCTCAGGCTTGGAATGATGGCCTCTGCTATTGGATCGGTAATGGGGTGTTTATTCTTGATGCTTTCAATTGTCAATGTCATTCAGATTCGCCTCGGGGTCTTATCTTGTGGAAGTAAATCTGCTATTCATGCTGTCTCCACCTTGCTCGTTCTGGTCACCTCTGCTCTTGTCGTTTATATTTCTACTGCTATATATGCATTTCTGCACTAAAGTGAAAGAGTATCAATTTTGGTATGTTATTTTTTGGATTTTGTTCAATGTATAACAACTATTGGGCCTGAAACTCCCAACATATGTGATCTTTGAAACTTTTAATTATAGAGATGATTTAGGTCATTACTGTTTGAATTTATTAGTTCAAATGAATTCCATTATGCCAGTGGTTAAAGGTAGTTCAAGTGAATTTCATTACCAACAAGGATTGTGATGGAGTGATAAGTAATCCTTCATCTTTAATCTGAAGTCTTGGGTTCGAGTTTTCCTGGATACGAAGTCGTCTTTGTTAGGGAGTGCTTTCCTGTCTCTATCAAACGGAATGGAGGGCAGTCTTATTGTGACCATAGTTAGTAGTTTCTTTCAGGTGTCCCTATCAAACGGGATGGAGGGTAGTGTTATTGTGACCATAGTTTCTGTTGTCACATGGGATGGAGGGTGGTCTTATTTGGTAAACCAAAGTTTCTTTTTGGGGTTTGTTAAATGGGATGAGAGTGGTCTTGTAGTAAACATTCCACCAAGTTTCTTTTGAGGTATTATTCACTGGAATGGAGGCTGGTTGTTATGGTAAACTTTGTTCACCTTGAAAAATAGGCAGCTATGAGTAGGATAAATCTTACTTCTTAGATACAGGTAAACAACAGCTGAGTCATTTCTACAACCCCTCTTTTGTAAAGCATTTTTCTATCTCTAAGCAAACGTATTGGCTTGCTTCAACATAAATGGGCATTTGCAGAACACTTTTTTATGTTTAATATATGCTATTTCTGCTCAAGAATACTAACTGGATTGGGTTCTATGTGAGATAGTTGCCTTATCTTGATATCTTGTGATTTTGTTTTCGTAAAATTTGCTGTATACATTATCCACTACTCCTATGAGTAGTTGACTTGATTCGTTAGTCAACAAGCAGGTAGGTGCATTTCTCTGAATCCAAATTGGGGGAACATCAAAAGTATTGTCCGTTGACATATATCCTCCGTGTGTACCTCCCTAGTAGAACATGTATCAAAACTTCTGCTCAACATGGTTCACATTGAATGAAAGATTCTAGTTTGTTCATAATCATCGTATCTGAATTGATCATCAACTATATTGGATATCCTGGTGATCAGGATTGACAAATGAAGTTAGCTTTAAATAAATTACTATGTATTCAATAGGAAAATGATTAGCCAATTCGAGGTCTGGTTGTTAAGGAAGTTCTCTCAAGTATGATGAAAAACTTAAATCCTATGCTAGCTTTTTCATAAAATTTCCGCAGTGTATGCTATATTGTCTTTCACTTAATCAAGCATTCAGAGATTCACCAATAGCTGTATAATCATACATGTGAACTGATTCTAGTTTCCTCATTTAACTAGTTCATATTCAATTCTCAACTCGACATAATTTTTTTTTAAATAATAGATTTAGTGATGTGCGACTCAAATCTTCTTTCCCTCCACCCCTCAATACCCCTCTCCCTCTTAAAATGAAGAACGAAAAATGAAAATAGTTTTAATTTCATGTTGAACATTTTGCAAAATGGAATTTTAGAAAATTCCTTTAAACTAGAGTTCATAATGTCTGTCATTGTGAAAAATGATACAAGGTAGATGCAATGAAAAGTAGGTCATCATTGTTCAACTGAGGAAGTGATTCATTCAATAGGAACCTTCACCAACTACTGATGCGACAATTTAAGCAGGGGTTTCTCTAGAAAACACATGATATTCTTCACTATCCTAGCTCCCTTTTGTGATTCATTTCTTCATGTGGTATATTGTTGCTTCCTGATCCATGGTAAAAAGAGAGAAGCTTGTACATCATTTTAATTGTTGAATGTTTTAGAGCTATATGGAGAATTGTTATGTTGTTTCTAGAGTCAATGTTGAGCCTGTGATGGATGATGCAACCTATACAAAGTGAAATATTTATGCCTTTTTTTAGGAGGAACAGAGTAAGTGACCAACGATGATCCTATCCATTTACCTTGTGGAGGTTGATGGAGAGTGAAGTGGTTTACAAAACATTAGTTGGGGGTTCATTTAACACTTGTAAAAGCATGTCGTGAGGTATTACGACAAATAAAACTTAAAAGAGAGTTGTATGAGTAGTAAAGCCACTTTTCTTCTGTGATGCACGCCGGAAACTTATGGCGGGCTTCCTAGACATGCTTTCTCAGTTTCTCCCCTCCACTTTTTCCGAAACTGGAATGAGCTTATTATTTTCTGGAGATACTTGAAGCCTTGTTTTTGAAGCTTAACATGTATTATTATTCAGTTACAAAGCGTTGGCTGCCTCTAAGCAACTGAACTTGCATCATAGCAAGCTTTATAAGGCAGAACCGTTGAATCTAAAAGTAATCGGTCTCTGTAAAGGCAAACCAAATGTCTCATTTGTCTACATCTTCTCTTTGAGATTAGGAAACAGAGGTCTCGTTCCTTTCATTTATCTTTTATTATACTAGTTCTGGAAACCTATATTGCACGTTAATCCCAAAATACTAGATATAAATTTTGATTGCAAATGATATTTTATGCCTTTAAAATCTATTGATATTTACTAAAAAACCATCATTTTAAAAATAGAAAGTCCATATATTTTTCTAACAAAAAGAATATATCCTTAATTATAAATTGACTAAAAGTGCATAAAGTAAAAATAACTAACTGTTGTACAAATTTAATATTCAAATGAGGATTCTAAAATACCACATGCTAGGTTAATGTATACAAAACTACAAACCACGGTAAATTTTCAATAATAATAACAACAAAATAATAGAAAGTTATACAATAACAACAAACATAAACATTAAACAAAACAAATAAAAGAGATAACAGAAGAGAGCATAGAGATTTTCACATTTTTTCTCAACTGTTTTAAGTGTGTAGAATGTCACTATTTATAAATTTATAGAATAAGATTGAGGAACACAAAGAGTTGTCATTAATATGACATTAATCCCTTTGAGATTATGGACGAGAGGTGGGAGTAAAAACGATAATGAATATAATTAGTGGAAGTTACATATATTTACACAATGAAGAGTTAGTGGTAATAAAATTTATGTAATGTACTTCACATTAATATAAATCTATATCTATATATAATAAAGTTGGATATGAAAATGGTGACGTCGCGCTCTCTAAGGGTTAAAGATTTTATTTATCCTTTTTGTGATTTTTATGGCCTTTTTCTCTCATTTCTTTCAATTATTTTATTTTATAAAATCGTCTCCTTAATTTTACTCTTAATTAATATTAGTAATGTCCATAACTCGTAAACTTTCATATTCATAACCCTCAAATAATTTAATATACAAATTTTATGACACCTTAAAATCACTCATAGAAAAACCTATTTGGAAACATATATGATGATTATTTTATTTTCATTTCTCCTTATTTGCTCTTCATCTTTTGTACTTTTAGTTGGTTAATTTTTTGTCCTCTTTAATCTGATTTTGTAGGAGAGATCTATAATGAAGATTGTTAGAAATTCTTACTTAGTTCGATTATATGAAGTAAAATTATTTGGTATGTCTAATATAATAATTTTTTTCTTTGTTGCAATTATACATTTAGTATTTTTTTTTTTTTGGATTCTAGATAATATGAATCATGAATTTTTTAGAAAAAACAATCTGATTTTTTCTTTGCTTCTCTTAGTACTTTCTAGAGATTTTTTTTCTTCTCTCATAACTTCTAGAAAATTTAATTATTTTTGCTCTTTGCTTCTCTTTGTAGTTTCTGGAGAATTAATTTATGTTAGGTTGATAACAGGGTTTTCTTTCATCTTTTAACTCATAACTAAACATTCTTTAAAGTTTTTATTTGATTAGTTAACTTCATTTTTATGTTTCTTTTTGTTAACTAATGGTGTTTTCAGGTTAGGATACTTTTTAAAACAAAAGCACAAAAGGATGCCAACATATACATGTATACTACTCAAGAAATCATGTATATATAATTTTGTAGTTATGTGGATTACTTTTTAATAATTATAATGATAGAACACGAGAATGTAATGTTAATTTGTAATTTTCAAAATATTGTTTAATTCATAGAAAAGTTGTTTATTGTATGGAACTTTAGTCTTCATTTTTTTTTATTATTAGAGGATCTCAAGTTTTTGAGATTTTCAGAGATCACTACTACAATCTGGGATCTGAACTCGAAATTCAAAAGTATTTGGTAAGGATAAAAATGATTTAGTAATGTTGTTTTCTCTCAATTTATTTTCTTTACCAACACAGAAATTATCTAAATAAAAGAAAAGTGATATATGTAGCACCTCTCTTTGGCCAAGAATTCTATTTATCTTTTTTTTCATATTTGTTTGACAAAGTTTCCTATTTATTTATTTATTTATTATTATACAAAAATGAGTGTGTCAATGATATATGTAGGCATTATGGTCATTTTTGGATATAATTAAGCTTTTAAGCCTCAAATCACCATTTTTCTATTCTTCTCCTATATTCCCCCAAATTCACTCCCCAAATTCTCTCAAGACTAAGGAAGAAGAAGAAGAACTAAGGTTCATGCAAGTCTCCAATCCTCCATCCTTTTTGGGCTTAAAGTATCAAGGTATGTGGATATTTACCCATGAAATCCATTCTTCCATGGGGTCCCAAGGTTTCCAATGTCTCAATCTCAATTCAATTGTTTAAGTTAGGGTTTCAATTCAATCCTTCTGGGTTTTATTCAATTGTGATTGATTATTGTTAAATAAGTCTTCTAATGCATGATTCAATGTTAATACATGGTATTTAGTTGAAATTATGTTGATCGATGCTTAAATTATGATTTTTCAACTATGAACCTATGATGAACTCATGAACATATGAATTTATGAAGATATGCATGCTTATATGAAATTATTGTAAATGAATTGGGAATGCTTTGAAATGAAAGTATCAATGTTATTGTGAAAGTTTTACTCAAATGTAATTATGATAACTTCAACCGACCATAACTTTCAGTACATGATAGTTTAGGTGTCCCATAAGATATCAAATGAAAGGTCTTGGAATCCTCTTTTCAA